TTTACAAGCAAAATCAATAGGAACTGCTATACATATCTATTTCTAGAGGACTTCAACATTGAAATTTGCAAGAGATATTGTTAAAGTGACAATGGCCACGAGCATGGCAGTCGGATGTTAATATGCATCGGGTAAAGGTAAAAAAAAAAATGTGTTATTTCACCTTTCTAATTCCTGATCCTCCAACGACGGCTTCATTGTTGGTTTGCTAACTTGAAGAGGGAGGATTTACCATCGAACTTCTGGCACGTAATATGTAGCCAACATTTGGAAGAATAATGTTTTCAAGCTGACTTGGATAGTAGTGCCTTGTGACAAACACCAGATACACCACTGGAACTTGCTCAACAGCCGATACCGCACCGGGACGTCAAAAAACCAGTAGGCAGCAGTAGTGTTCTTTGACAAACATGGATGTCTCTGGTAAAGCACATTCAAATGATATCATAGTGACTGCACCATAGCACCGCATCACTGTGAGCCTGCCAAGGCAGGTGCATCAAGATGAGTGCGCCACAGGAAACACATAACTGTGAGCTTGCACCTGAGCCAGCATATCGTGCCAAGCACCTCAAAGCAGCACTTATGCAAAATGTCTCACTGCAGCACAATATGCCCAGCGTCACCACAGGTCATTTTGCAAAGCGCTTCACTGCAGTGACTCATGCAAAGCTTTTCATGCCCTAAGCATTTGGCCAGGAGCTTTATGGCAACTGCAATTATTGCAGAGACACTTTCCTTGCAGCGCCATCATGATCCTTACTGGTCAGGTATGTCCCATCCAACTCTAGCAAGTGTTGATTGCCTCAATCTGAAGTCTGAAGCCATTGTCTATTACCTGCCACAAACCAAAGCTTTAGTTTCAGTAGTCTGGCCCAGGACCTCTTTTTTGAGGGAAGACTATTTTAATCCTTTTGCTAAGTTATGTATCCAAGTGTATGTCAATACGCAGTATCAAGTCTTCTGCCGGGGTGTGATTACCAAGAAACACATATTCATGTCAATAAAATCTTTCCAACTCCACCTTTCTCTGTGAGTGTCTCCAGGTTGAATTAGTACCATATATGAAAGTTGCTGAAATTGGACATGTTCATGGGGGGGTGAAATAATTGTACCTTAGCAATTCAGACTGCTGTGAAAAAGTCACATACTGTATTGGCAAAGGCAATCAGATTTAGGTTGCATTTGCTCACTGTGGGAACATTGCCGGGAATAATCAGCAGTACACAACACTGTGTACCTCTGCTCAATATTAAGATGCATGGCATAAGCTGTGAATACCTATATAGTATAAAAAGTATACAGCATGAAAGTGATTTCATAGTCTTCTCATTTTAAAGGAGACATATCTTGTCTCTTTACACATACAATTTCTCCAAAAATGTATTTTAATTAATTTCTAATTCATTTTAGAAGAAAAAAACATTGAATAGAACTTATTCCGATCCTTTTTCATACTCCATTTTTTTCCTCTGAGGGTACGCAAAACAATTTCACATGTGTGTTTACATGTTTTTGTGGAGGTTATGTAAGAAACATTCGCAGTTTGCAGGGTTAATTAATCTTTTTTACTAATCTTTTAGGCTACGTTCACACTGCAGGCCTTAATGCTCAATTCTGATTTTTTTGTGAAATCTGATTTTTTTTGGGTTGCCATTCACATTTCCAAATATATGCGACTTGTATGTCATCTCCTGTGTGAACTGCATTCATACAACGCAAGCATCCTGCATGCGCAATAGAGGACGCAATGATGCCACAAGCCAGCGTGCTCTGTGTTTACAGACGTAAACATAGATGGTAGTGCTTGTAGCGGATCTACCTTAATAACACAATCTTTTCAATATGGTTAAACATAAATACTGCTCTCTGCATTATCATCCGCCCTGGTTGTTGTTTTTATTGCCGCTTCTGCTTACAAGACCCAGAATAGTGACCTTTGTCGGGTATTAACGGCGTACCGGTTGGATTATAAGTTATATAAACAACAGTTACCGAGTGCACGGCAGGTAATTCTCTGATTGTTAGAATCACCTGTTTTAGAGGAATAAAGACAGGAGTCAGAATTAAGTTAGCATCCTTCCATCAATGGCATACATTAAGAAGGAGGTTTAAAGTAATGCTCTGTGGAAAGTTTTTATAGAAGTTTAAGGAAAGCATAAATTGAATTGCATTTTGATTATACCTTTGGAAGCAACATAACTCTATGTAGAAAACATGTCAATGGATAATCTCTTTTCAGTCATATTGTTTTAAAATAAGATCTTTTTTTTACTGTAAGGGCAGAAGATGTTGGTTAGATAGTGGCGATGGGTGGGGTTGGCAGATTAGTGAAAGCTGTACCCTGTATGTGAGTGAGGGTTCGTGTGTTTAACAGGAACTGACCAAGCTGCTTTGTGGTTTCTCATTTGTCGTTCATCAGCTACATAAGAAGTTTAGTGTTCTCAGAAAAGTGTTTGGCTCCACTGAATGATTTAGTGTCAAGTGTTAAATCATGAAAGCTGTTTTTGGATTTTTTCTGACCCTACTAAGACTATCAAATGGTGAGTTCTTTTTTTTAACCCTTTGAAAAAAGGTGAACTCAGAAACAGTTAATATATATCCTTTAAAACTTTTAAATCAACTAAAGCTGCCAAATAAGAGTTAAGAATGTGTTCTATAAAAGGTAAAGTGATTAAAAGTTTATATGTTTTCTATGTTTTTGCAGCCTACCTTTGTATATTTTTGTTGCATTGGACTTGTAGGGCTTAGCCATGATTAGCAACGATACTAACAGTCTTATAAATCAGTAAATAAACAACATGTAGCTGACCGGGAAAGTGATTTAGTTTTAGATTAAAGCTAAAAAGCATTAGATAATCAAAAAAATACTGGTATAAAACACATTATATCACATGGGCCTAGTGGTTAGAAAGTAGGGCATTTACATTCTGAAGAGGTAACAAAAGTGGTGGCTTCAAAATAAGGAATGCCACTAGGTCCCTGTGTGAGACCCTTACAATGGACATGTTTCACCACTGTAGTAATAAAATATATTTCTTTCTTAAAAAAGAGTAAAGAGATACTTTTTCACTTATAAAATGAATGTCATATTGCCTTTTTAATGCTCTGAGCTTCCATATCGATGCGTTTTGCACCATGTTTTTTTTCTCCCACACTGCTTACATTTGATCACTGCTACACTTTATAGAATGGAAATGTTCCGAAAGCTGTACAAAACAAAATTTTGTTTTGTA